GACTGTCACCTCAGAAGACACCATACCAAATATTGTCAGTTCAGCTCATCAATACATTTACACTTTTACAAATGTTTTTATCAATAACTCATTAAGCATTGTTTAGGTTTATAATAAATTCAGAATGCAAATTTTACAAATTATCCAACTCACCTGAGAAGCAGCAAAACATGAGGACATGCAGAGTCCTCATTCTTCATCCAGGTTAAAAACACAAGTTAAAAGACAAATGTAGTCCAGCAGTGTCTTAAGAAATGCATCAGTCTGCTTCAAATTAGTCATATGCGTCTTTGCCATAGATCAGGGGGCCATACAGATCCAGTAAAGCTACAAAAATGTGATTGTGCAGCTATGTGTTTTTGTTTTACTGTGCCTCTTCAGCTACATTTTAAACACAGAGACCGTAGAGTAGTGCGGTACTTCTCCAGCCCCCTTTTATTTGAGGAGCCCAGCTCATGACTGTGACACAGTGTAAACTCTTCAGTGTTAACATTTATTGTTCGGGCTCTTGCAGCTGGCTCTGTGGTGTAGTTCACTTACAGTACAAAGAGCTGGGGGGCATCAAACTCAACAAGCCGTCTGCTGACTCTGTCATGGTTTTCAGAGGGCAGCCTCGGGGCAACTTCAGCTATCAGGCTTTTTTTTGTTTGTTTGTACAACAGGTTGAAGCTGTCTCGAAGTTACTGTGGAAATGTATTGCTCCACTCAGGCTAGTCTTTAGGCTTAGCTTGACTTTTGACATGTGGTGAGCCCTATCGTAAGACACAGCATTCACTCCTTAGGGACTGTAAGTTATTAGGTGACAACAGGGGATTGCATTTTTGAATTTCTTTTTTTTTTTTAAAGCAATATGAACATTTGCTTTGGATGCTCTGCTTGACTGCAGTGAGACCCGGCAATGCATTTTTGTCCTCTGTGTGGGACATGAGTCTGAGATCTCTAAGTCAAGCACCATTTATGCTATCTACTTGAATCCCACTGTACTGTCAAGAGGACATCCTGGGCTTTCTAGTGAGGCCCCACTTGTGGGGGTGTGGCAAAAAAATACAGAAGGACATTCTCTCCAAGATGGCAGGCATCACAGCTTCCTCAATTTATGGCACCAAAAGGGGCAAAAGATCATTTTTTCGCTGATATTATGTGTCTGTTGGTAATAATCAAATTGTTCCTTCAATATGAGACTCTTAACTTCAATTTAGTAAGACTTTAGAAATGTACAGTCATTTTAACCCTTTCAAAACACAACTTTTATTCAGTGTCCTTTGTAGTGGACAGCAGGACTTACTACCCCCTGTTTTTAACCAATTTCCATACTCCAGGAAGCAGAAGGAAGCAGAGTGAGGGAGAAAGGATTTTGCTAAGAATTGTGGGAGGAGAGTCAGACTTAGAGCTGTCAGGAGATGATGTGGAAGAGGGCCAGACAGTAGAGCAAGGTGAAAGTTCAGATGACGACGTGTCAGCTTTTGAGGAGCCTGAGCAGGGACCAAGTGACACCACCCACCATCCATTATGGATAAGAAGCAATGTGTATGCTAGGGCTGAATTTTATTTGTATTACTGTGTGGAAAGGGAAATGAGAGCCATAGTTCTTGAAGTGACACACACACACACACACACACACACACAGTTAAAAGCTTAACTTGGCAAACTACTGTGCCTTTTGATTTGTGTTGTTAAAAATGTATACATAAATGTAATGTAAAATGCTAAAAGTTCATTAAATTATACCTCTCCTTTGTTTATCATTCAAGTTTCAACAATGTTGTGGAGAAGAACACTTTGCACAACAACGCTTGCCACAGCCATTAAGACTGGAGGCCCTCTGATTACTCCAAACAGTACATAGATAACCGGGTTTTTGAAAAAACGTCAGCGCACACAAACCAGCGGGAAATGCTTATCACTGGAGGCAGCCTGAAAACCACTCCAGAGGAGCTAAAAACCTTCTTTGGTATATATATGCATGGCATGTCTTGGATATCCAAGGATCCGGATGCACTGGACAGCAAAGACGAGGGTCCCAGTTATGTGTGATGTGACCTAACAATCCAGCTTCGGGTTTATCATACACATCATTCATTTATACACAGAATGTGGTTTAATCAAAAAGCTCTATTGAGAGACGTTCCTTAAATTTTTTTAGTGTTTAGATGTGTTTCCTTCATCAAACTGTTGTAATGTTCACAAAATGTAAAGAAATGTAGACAAAAATCCACAAAAAATGAATGCATTATCATTACAATTTAGTGTTACACTTGTGATCAAACAAGACCCGATGTCCACTACAAAGGGCAGACGATTAAAAAAAAAAAAAAAAAAATTAACTTAATTTTTTTTTGCTGTAAAATGTTTCCTTTAACCCAAGGACTTAAAGTATCCAAAAAATACATGAATATCAAAAAAAAATTTCCTCTGGGTCTCAGGACACATTTTCCCCAAAAATACAATATGCTAATGTTTTTAGCACAAGCCTATAGCATTTTCCATTGTATAAATTAGCCTAGTGCTTAGTGGACTTTTCCTCCACTCATATGAAGCCTGGGACAACAGCAACATTTAACAAAGGCAACATTACAGTTTTTACAATTTGGCTCCATTACAACTTACAAGGTTCACTGACAAAACAACTGTCTCATACTAAACACATTTTCCAAACAAATACGACGTGCTAACATTATTAGCACAAGCCTGTGGCATATTACATTGTAAGAATTAGCCTAGCGACGAGCGGAGATTTCCTCTGCTCATATGAAGCCAGGATAAATCACACACAAGACTTCACAGTTTATTGTTTCTTATTTGTGAAATTAAAGTAAAAAAAAGCTTCATTTCCACTGAGGGAAATCGTTTCAGCTTGCAAAAATAGACAGGAGGTCTGCGCCCCCGCGACGTGTAGTTACACTTCTGGGGAGGTCCTGTCATTGCATTGCTCTGGCAAAGGGGCTACTTCCATTACTGCCAATCAAACTTGAAGCTGGAGCCGATAAATACTGATGATTACTGCAGAGTCTTTTATCCTGGTTGTGAATGCTGATTGTAACCTTTCCCATTAAATACAAAAGTCAGATGTTCTTCCTGTTTCCTGACAGGGTGTGTCTAGATTTCACTGTGAATACTCCCATTAATTTCAGTGCAGGGTGTCACCATGGTATGGAACTTACATTAAGCAGTGGAGTACACTGAAAGAACAATTTTTGGTGATGGGTTGTCACTTGGTGCATTTACTCAAGTACTGTACGTACAGTTCTGAGGCACTACTTTAATTAGTGGGCTACTATCTCCATTTCATGCTACTGCATACTTTAACTCCACTATATTCATTTTAAAGCTTACTAGTTACTCATTGTAGTTTAGTTGTGTTTTTTTCAATCAATAATAGAAATTTGCATAGCCAACAAGAAAGCCTTAATCAATAAAAATGATTAACACATAAATACATCAATAATCATAATCCACAATTTGAGACACTTCATTGTTTTTATTGGACCCTCTCCAGACTGTTCAAGCTTAAGCTCAGGAACAAAGCTGACTGTTGGAAGTGCTGCAGTTCTGAAGGGACGCTTCTTCACCTACTCTGGGAATGTACCATGATTCAGAACTATTGGATAAAGGTTTGTGAACATATTAAAAACATTAAGCAGACTAACTTCGAGTTCTGCCCGAGGCTGTATGTTCTCAGTGGCCCACAAATAACATCTCACTGTGGAGCCAGGGACTTCATTCAGACCAGTATAATAGTGGGAAAGCAAATTATAATGAGAAACCGGTGGAAACCAGGTGAGCCCTCTTTCAAGGAATGGTTCACAGAGCTGACAAAAGTTGGATCACATGAGCAAATCTCTTTCAGTTCTAAGGACAGGACAGGATGTAGTATGTGGCTAAGTGGAGAAGCTATATTTGGAGCACATTGCTGGTGTGAACGAAACTTGAATTGAATCATACATTTTTTGAGTGTCTGAGAGTCCATCAGCTGCTTGTAGATCAGAGAAGATTGTGGTGCATATTCATGTAATTTTTTTCGTGCCTTAAGAATTACTTAAGTTTTTTTATATTATTATTTTATGTAGTAATTGTATTTTGTTTCCTCTTGTGTATGCACATATATTTGATTTATTAACAATTGGGGACACTGTATGTCAGGGGAAAAAAGCAGTAAGTTTAATAAAATATTAATAATTAAAAAAATTAAGATCTAATAACACATAAATATGAAATGGCCCATTCTGCATAATGAGAACTTTCACATTTGGTAGTTAAAAGTGTATTTTGATGCCAATAGATTTGCACTTTTACTTAAAATAACATTTTGAAAACAGGACTTTAACTTGTAAAAGTATTTTTACACTGTGGCACTGCTACTTTTACTCAAGTAGAAGATCTGAATTCTTCTTCCACTTCTACTGATTTTACATTTCAGCTAGTCATATCTTAAGTTCACAAAAAAACAGTATTGGCAGTATTGTGTATTAGCTTGTTCAAGCCCTTGTTGAAGTTAGGCTCTAATGAATGTTAACAAGAGTATTTCCAAAAATGTTGGACTATTCCTTTAAGGCATGTTCTAGAGAGCATGGATGTTACAATCCCTGATGCACATACTTAAGACTTAAGTGGGGGTAATAGTGCCATCTGGGGGTCTGAGTGGGAGCCAAAGGGTTAGATGGATAGGGAAGTAGGAAAGAGCAAAGGTAGATAGAAAAATAAGAAAAGGCATAGGGAAGGGAATTGAGGTCAGCAACAGAAGAGACTTCGGTGATTAGACCTTGTCATTGGTCAGATATGTTTAGCTATGATTCAGTCAACCTCAGTGCATGTCATCAGTCCCTGCAGACATCATGAGTTATAACCCTGTGCTTGGAAGTGGCTGCTCTGTCTCTGTTGGCCCCTCTGGAGAAGACATCCTACAAATGTAGCATTTAAAGCCTCATTGACTCCCGGGTTTTAGCAGTAGCTGCTGGGGAAGTCAAACAACGTTAGTGAAGAATCATAAGGCCACTCTGGTAAACGTTTACAGCACCAGGCAGTTTTCATTTCTTTATTGTTCTTTTCATAACGATGCTTGTGTTACATCAGTTCCCCCACAACTTTTCACTTGAATGTAAAGTTGCTATTTTTCACTGCGTGAGCAGTCCATGAATCTCTTTCTCCATCAGTATACACTTTATAAGTGTTCCATCTTAACTGTGTAAACAATTCAATCTTCATGTTGCAATGTAATACAAAAAAAAAAATCTCTCAGAGAGAACCTTTAATTCCAACAAAACAGGTCCTGCAGAAAATAGTACATATATTTTATATAATCTACTTTTTTTCATCAAAATATAATCTTATTCAGTAAATCAAACACCAAACAATATTGGTCATATTTACATTCAACCCCGTGAAATGCTGCAGTCATTCAGAACAAGCACTTTCCCAAGGTGGTTTTTACACTATGGTTGACAGTGTGCACGCAGCTGTCTCACAAGTCTGTGCTTCATTGTCTGATGTGATTTGTAACACCACATGAAATGTCCATGTGATGACTGACATGAAATTAGTTGGCAGCTTAGTGTCCTTATTATGAAATCCTGGACATCCCTTGGTCTTGTTTAAGATCGCGGCAGGACCTGAGCGATGGTGTCCCGGGCACTCTGGCTGAGCCGTTCTGGGAACTTGACCTCATACTCCACTAATAGGTCCCCTCGACGATCAGGGCGTTTGGGATAGGGCAGCCCCTCGCCACTAATGCGTCGTTTCATCCCTGGCTGCACGATATCTGTTGTTGACACAGTCACCGTTCTGCCGTCCAGTGTGGGTGCGTTGACTGTGCAGCCACACAAGGCCTGATGGGACAGAAGGGGAAAACAATCATGAATAGGCACCAATAGGAACATTTGAAGCTGTCTTCCAACACTTTACAATTTTTAAGAACAATAAGAGTATGTCATTTTAACTTACATCTCTGAGTGAAATCTTTGCTGTGTAAACGATGTCCGAGCCATCACGTTTGAATACTGGGTGTGGCTTGTCCTTTAACACAAAAACCACATCAGCTGGAATAACCGTGGGAGTCTCGTCGCCCTCTTTGGGAAACGTGATTTTCGTGCCCTCTTTCCAGCCCTTCTTTATCTGCACCTCCAGGATTTTATCCTCTACCCTTACTGATCGCCCATCGGGGTTCAGCCTTTTACGAGAGATCTTCATTCTCTTTGTGCAACCCGACAGAACTTCCTCCAAGGTCACCTGGAGGTCATGAACCACAGGAGGGTCCTGGTGCTTCTTTACAACACTAGTGTGAGGGCCCATTCCTCCCATGCCGGAGCTGAAGGAGCGAGGAAACCCCCCGATTCCACCGCCCCCCATCCCAAAGCGGGCAAAAGGGTCCTCAGTGTCCATGTCCTCATCCATGCCTCCATTGCGGCCACCGAAGAACTGTTCAAAGGGATTGCGTCCACCAAAGAACTCTGCGAAAATGACATGCGGGTCACCCTGGAAGCTGTAGCTGAAGTTGCCAGGACCACCACCACCACCTGGGATGCCTCCGCCTTTCAGACCTGAGTGAGAGAAACAATCAGTTAATCATATTATCATTAAAAAGAACTGAATGCACAAATGATAACCAAAGTCATGCAACACTTACTATGGACTCTGTAATGTTATAATTGTATTATCTCATTGACATTAACATCACAAGGAAGGAATCTTTTCCTCAAATTTCTCTTGTTAGGCATACATATGATCAGGTTTCTTTCGCAGTGTGAATGAGGTAGCAACAGCACTGTAAACAGGTAAAGCAACAGCACTGAGCACTGAGATCATGGGTGACATAGGGGTGCCATTTTGAAGACATGTTATGTGTGCGACCCACCACAGGAAATTTAAAAAGTAGCTGATAGCAGTTAGCAGCTAACTCAAATAAGAACAGCGGTTGAAACGGCTGCAAACTGGGAAAACAATGAGGTCTGGGAGCTCCTTACCCTCCAAACAGAGGACAAGATCTGCCGCCATATAACAGGGACAGTAAATCATTGTGATTGTGACGGTAATGCCATTGTTATTGTTTAGAAAGCACTGTTAATGGCTATATTTCACACTAGAGGCCGACGTGTTGTGTTACATCACACCCGTCATGCCTCTGATTGCATGCTATCTAAAATCACACCCTGGAGGGGCATGATAACGCTGTTGTTTCATGCTGTGTAAAAATGCAAAGGCTGCATAAAAAAGGGACTTTGTAGCAGCCCTATAATGTGATCTCTGAGTGAGGGCTAATGGCTTCACTTTCTAGACCCATGAGCTATTTCCACTTCTTTTATAGTCTATGACTACAGCAAAACCCTCTCTTTTAAGTATGATAAGCAGGCCTTGAAACCTTCAACTTCACTGTGTACAGACACCACCATAAAAAATGTGGCACGAACCTTCCAAATGCTATGGCACCAACTGTTGTGGTGGTTGCGAAGCTGTGTGTTTGCTGATATTACTTGTCAGCCTCCTTATATGGAAGTGTTCTTAGCTGAGAAATAACCAGGAGGAATATATAGAAAAGACACGCCCTTGTATAAGGCTCTGATTCCACTGGATTGACATGACTTGCACTGGATGTTATAGAGTTTTCATGTAACTATTTTTAAAGAGCTGCTGCACCTTTATACATATTTTTTTAGCTCTAAACTAAATAAATAGAGTGTACTATGCTGGTTTTAACACTGACATTTATTACCAACTTTATAAATTCGGCATTTCTCCTTGAAAGTGCCTCAACATGCCTTCTATTGTTTTAAATCAGGCCTGAACCTGGCAAGGCCAGTGCTGGTGTAGGATTGACTAGTTAGGACTTATCCATCAGCTCCTGCATCACACATCCACCCCGCCCCACCTCTCATTGCTCTTGTGCACTTTCTCAAAATTATGCAGATGTGGGGGTGAAGTTAAACTTCAATGGTTATCAGTGTTATGATGTAAACAGATATCATTATTCAGTGGTGGGGACAAAACATTAATCAATGCAAACTTGTGACTGTTGAGCCAAATATGTTGTTGCCATGGTAACACATCAGACGCCATATTGGGGAGACGTCTCATCCCCAGTGTTGCGTTAGAATCTCAAAGAGTACTTTAGGATACATTGCTAATACTTTAACAAGTTAATATTTCTTACAGTTACAACTCTTAGTCCTTCCTATAGTTACCATGGTTACCAAACAATAAGGATAAAGTACATTTGTGTAACGCTGACCCACCTCTCAGGTTTCCATGCGCCACAATCAACAGTGACACCACCATTCAAACATCCAACAGCACAGGGACGCTAATCCCCGCCCCCTCCTTCCACTTCCTGTCCTGAACTCACGGTTACATATTTCCAGTTTTACTTTGTCACTGACTTCTTGTACAAACATGCAGTAAGAGCTTTCCTGTCTGCACAGCCTCGCCTCTCTGCTGGCTCAGACACACGCCTTAGCTGAAGGACAGGACAGGGCAGAGGGGAGCTGCTGCTGGGAGGAGCGCCATGACACTCGCAATAACATTATCCGTCTGTCCCATGCATGGCAAATATCATAACCTTTTCAACGTGGCTTTAGTTTGGTTGAACTTTCAACACGGTATAACTTAACCCTACTGTTAGCTAGCTCCACTGTCAGAGACATGCCACTAGTGACACTGTTAAATGATTCACAAGTACACCTTACCTTCTTCACCATAACGGTCGTATATGTCCTTTTTCTTTGGGTCGCTCAAAACGTCATAAGCTTCAGCAATCTCCTTGAACTTCTCCTCGGCTCCCGCGGACTTGTTTTTGTCGGGGTGAAAGCGCAGAGCCTGCTTACGATAAGCTTTCTTTATATCGTCCTCCGACGCTCCTTTCTTAATTCCCAAAATGTCGTAGTAGTCTTTACCCATTTTGACCATCCAGTGGCTTGTTTATATTACAGCAGTCCGGAGCCGGCTGTTGGAGCACTTACAGAGCACGTCCTGAAGTCAGTACTCTTGTCCCAGCATAGTGCGCTGTGCCCCGTGTATTTTCTTTATAAACTGCGTGGAAACTTCCAGAGTTTTCCATAAACAGCTCGAACAGTCTCAACTGTGACGGTTTGGCCAAGACACGCCCGCCTCTACGTCACTGTGTGCCGCCTTCAGGGGCTGTCGGAAATTCGGCTATTCTTGTACAGTAACATGCCATGCCTTATCAGTCTCCCAAACCTCAGTGTGGCTCGTATACAGTCTGTGGTATAGCTATAAATATTGATGGGGAAAAAAAACAGTGGGGCCATGTGTACTCAGATTATTCAGTAGTAATAAAAGTACTGTTACCAAACTGTAAAAATACTGATAAAAGGTGAATACATACAAGTCCTGAATGGAAGTATCTAAAGTTACAGTACTCACTGCAGAAAAATTCTCACATTTGAGAAGCTGGAAACATGAGACATTGATGAAAACGTTTTGTCATTCAACTAATTGACTGCTGATTGTTTGGTGGTTTGATTTATAAATAAAAAAAGCTAATCCTCTTTTTAGACTGGTGTAAATATAATAGAATAGAAAGAACTTTTTTCATTCGTGAAAGAAAATCCAACTGTCCAGCAGCTTATAAAAACAACCACACTTCCCCTCATCAACAACAACATGATAAAATTGACACAATTTTTTTTAACTAAGTGTATAAACAGAAATTAAAAATCAAATTGAAATTAAATGAAAATTGCCCATTCCACAGTCCAGTCCAGTTGTGGCTAATGTGATGTGTGTGTGTGTGTGTGTGTGTGTGTGTGTGTGTGTGTCTGAATGTGTGTGTGACTGGATTCAGGAGGTGTGAAAGCATTTGCTCAAAACATCACTGGTGGATGTGCTAATAAACTGCACTTGAGTGACCTTTCTTCATGTTTTTATTTCTATCTTTCATAGCCCTAGTACCTGCCTTAAACGTTTTTTGGATATGCGCTACTGATGTACTTTTTGTGTAGTTTAATTTATTACAAACCAGACTTTATAAACTCTTCATATGTTTTGTGTGCAAACATCTGAATTAGCAAAGTAACTAGTTATTAAAACTGTCAGGTAAATTAAGTGGGGGGGGAAGTACTATATTTTCCTCTGACACGGTTCTAAGTCCCACAGATGTGTATTTAAGTACATTACTTTAGTGAACGTAGGCTGTGTTATATTCCATCACTGGGAAGACGCATTCAGATTTAGTTTAGTTTAGTTTATTTAAGAAGGGACAGTGTAAATTCATATATATATATACACATGGTATAAAAATGCCAGAATTAGCCAAAAAGGCTATATTTCATCCGTAGTCCCTTGGCCAAGACGTTACACAAGGCTACTGTTACATCCCACCCTAAAAAGACACAAAAAAAGAAAAAGAAAAAAGTGCATACAATATAAAAGTTTTGAATACATCAACAATAAATTACTTTAACAGGATTTTTTTAGTAACAAGAATGTAATGATCATGAAATCTGTGATTCAGTGCTAAAACTTGAGGCAAAACCAATATAATATAAAAGGACATAACATTTTTTCAGTTAGAGGCAGTAGTGCCATATTTCGAAATAGAACAGAATTGCAACACCAGCAGGACATATTATAATCAGCAGCAGAAAAGAGTTTAGTGCTTACGTGCGTATGTATGAATCATCCATAGTTTTTATTGGTTACTGAGAGATCTATAAGTGTTTAGTTCTCTGGTATGAATTGGAATTACATTCCACTCTCTTAAACCTCTGAAGATTTTTTACTTATGTAAAAGTAGCCTATCTTGTAGTGTGAAAATACTCCATTCAAGTCCTTCATTCAAAATGTTACTGTAGTAAGAGTATTATCAGCAAACTGTAACTACCTGAAGTAGTAAATAAAGGTATTTATTTTGCCCCTGTGAATGACATGTTACTATTATATAGGATATTATTAGATTGTTAATACTGATGCACCGATGTGTGATAAGCCCACTGTTGGAGATTTTTTTTTTCAGTTTTGCAGTTTAACCTTGTAAGACACTTAGAGTTAAAATCCCTCTGTGGTGAAACTGCTAACAACTTTCTACCCCAACTAGATACTGTTTTACTGTAAGGATTCACAAGCAAAAAAGGCTGGAGACTACTGTTTCAATCTGTAAAAATGTTTTGTATTTTATAAACTGATCATATGTTTTAAGTAAAATCTAAATCTGTAAAGTAAAGAGTATCCATCTGATCACTTAAATAAGTAAAAGAATAAAAAGTATGATAATTCTCTCTGAAATGTGGCACAGCCTTGTAAACGTGGAACTACTCAAGTAAACAATCAACAATTGAATGCTTAAATTTACATGCCCCTATGGACCATAATAAGCGGTCCCAGATTATGTCATAAACAATGAATAAGCCAAAAATAAACAATAGCCTAGAAATACTAAAAAAAAGAAAAAAAAAGACAACAGACTCCCCTCACTGAACCCAACCACACCAAAATGAAACTGCAAATAGATTTCTGGCAGCAGCTTTTGTTATGCTTGGGTGGGGCTCAGATTCAAGATTACTAAATCCCCTGCGTACTCGCTGGTGGTGTGGTGCACAGCAGGGACATGTAGGGCACAATGCTGTGCCACTGCCAGATGTTATGGACAAGATTCCCATTAAGTTTGATTCATGTTCAGTGAAACTGCTCAAGTGTACGAGTAGTACCTGAAGGCAGCATTTCAGATTTGATTCACAAGATTTAGTAAGCTCTAGCTCTTAGACACCAGTGTCTGTAAGTGATTTGTTGGAGCATATAACATCAAAAATAGTGCAAATACAGGACTGAATCAGTCACACAACATTTGCCTCATAAAAGTGCTGTAATACACACTCACAAACATGGTCATACACATTTACTCAAGAAAAGAACCTCAGCGGGCTCTCCTCAGTCGTCCCATTTTTCATTTCACAACACTTCTGGTAAAAATAACCAGTAGATTGCAGTAAAAAGTCAAAGTTATCTGTTAAAATGGTGACTACATGCCACTTGTGTGAGATATTTGCCTTTGTCAATTGCAGCAAAACCTGTTTTTCAGGGTGAGAGTGCCTTGGCCTTGGCAGGCTAAATTTTAAGATCACTGCAGGTTTTAACCACAGACCCACCCAAACTAGGATTTTTAAAGGTGGAGCTCAGAACAATATTCTTTTAGAAAAGCCATAATTCAATTCAAAGGTCATCCAAAGTAGAAGTGTCAACACACACATGTAACCCTGTGTATGTACTGAGTGTATTAGGTAACATAATTATGGTGCCTTTGGAGATACAAGGCCTGCAGGTCAGGCTTATCTAGGCTACAGAACTTATTTTATGTTTACCCTTAAAATGTGTTGGTATATTTCACATTCATGTGTTCTCATTTTGTCATCATAGTGTTTTTTGCAATAACATTATTTTGGGTAAATGCACCTGACTATAAGCAATTCATACCCTGACAGTTTCCCTCAGAATGACTGTTGCCTTTGGTTTAAGATTATAAACTGACAACATACCAGGCAAATGGAAAACTTTATTCATACAGGACAGTTTATGCACATGGAAAACACAGTGTACAAAGAAATGCAATTAAAGAGATTACACAATGTGCAGTTGTGGGCAAAAATGAATGATGTAATAGCATAATATAGAAAAAGGGGCTGCCAAAACAAATTAGCCTGGAAATAAAGTTGGGAAAAGCCATAAAGTATTTCCTATACAGCATGAGAGGTGGTGCACAGTCTGTCGTCACCAGTTGGATCAGTAGATAAGCCTGCACACAGACGGTCAGGGCTGCTACACAGAGAGCACTCAACTTTATGTATAAATCCAATTATATTAGCGTAGCCGCGACCTCCCCGTTTGCTTAAATCTAATTGGCTTCGCCGCTGATAGCGAGGACCAGTGAAAACCAGTAGCTTTACTGGTGTGGAAGTGATTGCCTGAATGCCGCCGGTTCTGATTGGCTGCGGCAGGGCCGTAGTGCCCGCCCACCGTGACCTCACCAGTCATACATTACTCCGCTGATTGGAAGCGGCCCTGTCACTCATCCGGGATATTAAGGAAGGGGTGCAAACTGCCAAGATGAAGCACTACGAGGTAAGTAGTGTCTATGAAACTCTAAACCGTTAATGGGGCGCTTTGTGGAGCCAGAATATAATTTATTAAATCAATTAGGAATGTCCTTGTGATTCCTGTAGAGGTAAACTCCGGAACAGTCACATTTAGAGCTTTAAACACGAGAGCAACGCTGCCTGTCATGGTCAGGTTGCTATGACCGGAGATTTGTGGCTCCTCGTGCACGGAAATTAACGGTTGTATCGGCTAATATCGTACCGGAAATACGAGCTGCACCCTCAGTTACGACGAATTGTACTCGTGTTGTGTATTTGTTAGGTTGTTGGTAGACGCTGGACGCCTCTGTTAGCTAAACACAGAGCCCTCTGTGCGGGATAATGCTTGTCATTATCGCCATCTCTGGCTGGTATGGCTCATGGCGCTTCTTATCTTGTTGTTGCCCAATACTGCAGGTGAACAGTCAAGTGCATGAGCCCTGCTGAATTAACTCAAGTGCCCAGGATGTGATATATGATTTAACATAGCATCAGTCAGACCCTAAACTGATGACAGAAACCTACTTAGAAAACAAAAACAGAGAACTAATGTTTAGGTTTAGGCTAACTGTTCCAGAAACATCCAGGCGTGACTCTTCATCATTAATGTGAAAGGTTTCCTCTGCCACTAAACCACTGTGCTCCTGCAATCACTGAAAGCTTCTCTAAATGTTAACAAATAAGAGTTTCATGGGCAAAACCCATCAGACAGGCTTTAAAGAAGTCTGACAGAAACAACCAGTGGCTGCTCCGGTTCCCCTTCTTTCTGTTGACAGATGTTGCAACCTGCGAGAAGCAAAACAACACTTAAATCATAAAAGATTTTTTTCTTTATGACATCTCTCATGGCTGCACTGGTGTCAGAGTTCATTTGCACTGGACAATGTGTCAGTAATAGGACACTCTCGCAACCCCTAATCGATTAGCCTGCCTCACCTTTTCCTGGTCATGGCCTTTGAAACTGAAAGATAAGCCAGTAAATACACTTTGTTACAGCAA